GTTTTCGGGGGTGGCGGTGCAGGGATGGGTGGCAGGCCCTTTCGAGCTCCGGTGGGGTTCTCCTGCGCGCCGACATTCAATGTCAGACCAATGGAAGGATGACCTTCATTGGGCGGGGAAAAATGGTCTGCACACGGTCAACGAAGGGGCGGGCTTCAGGTACGGCAAGGTGCATTCATGGTGTGGTGAGCGACTGCGCACGGTACAAAAGGACAGTCTGGGCGTCATTCCGTACCGCAGTCCTTCCATTGCCACGGCTCCAGAGGTGCCTCGTGTGCGCTGCCCTCTCGCCGTACGCCTCTGAATCCCGTTCGACGCTCCGCGCCTCCACATCGTCTGCTCTCACTTTGTGGTGGACCTTTGTGGTCCCCGTCATCGAACCTTCTCTCTGGCCAGTGCCCCATCATACGCGTCGTCCACGTCCTTCCTTTCCGCCGCCGGTCGAACGTCGACGTTCACGTGCCCTTCGTGCACGTCCACGTTGCACCGAGCACACCTTCATTGGCCACGTGTCAGGGGGACTGAAGCTGCATCCACACGGCACTGCGGGACGCGACAGGAAAGGGCAGGAGAGATAGCGGTCCTGGCGAGGGGGGGGAAGGCTAGAAAAGTCGAGGCCACATGCCCAAGTCAAAAAGGCTGCGCGTTGATGAGGTGAGCTCGGAGAATGATGACGACTTCCAATGAGAGGAAGTTGAGGTGGTGGACGCGCAAGGAACGTCGGGGAGCCAACGATTGGGTTTTGGGCGGAACGGGGTGTCGAGGGATCAACTGGCTGCTATCAAACAAGTCGTTGCTGGTGGTGCCGCCAGAGCGTCGCCTAGGACACACAAGGCGCAAGGCATGGTCATGAGCGAGGCGCGCGTGCAGAGGCAAGTTGCAAGGGTGGGTGAGGGGACGGCAAGAGGCGTTCGCACACCGATCATCCCGGTCGTTGGGGGTGGCCGACTTGACAAGGCAGTGATCAGGGCAGTCTAGCCACATCAGGCATTCCCCTCTGATTAGGCGGGGGGCTGGAGCGCGGCGATAACACCGCCCCCGCAGAAGAAAGTGGGCGCAGGCGGCAGTCGGACGGCGGCAGGAGATCATCACACTACAAGCGGAGTCGAGGAAGGTGTGGTAGAGGGAAGGGTCGATGACGTGCGCCATGACGATGGTAAAAGAGATGGACGACGGAAGGTGATGATGACGACGACCAACCCCTTGCGAGCTGGCAAAAGAGAACTGCAGAGGAGGTTAATCTGGAGGAGAGGTCGAAGTTGTGGGTTGATTGCGATGCTTTTTGGGGTCAAGGCCCCGGAAAACCGTTGAGGGAGGCGATTGGCGACTACTCCGACTACTTCATCGCCATCGCCAACAGAGACGCAGGAGTCAAACCACTGTTCATGCTCATTATGCCACCGAACGATGTGCCACGTTTCAAGATCGACGATCCGGCGTAGCGCGAACCAGCTTTGCATAGAGCGCGCATCGTGGAGAAACTGGTAATGAACACCATTCACGGGTGGATCTTCAAATCGTCGCCGAGGTCGAATGGGTTCGCTCGTGTAGAGTCGTACATCACCGTGGACTACACTACCGACGTCGCACGAGCTGTTTCGCAAGGGTTGGAATGGTCGAGAGTGGTTTCCCCAACCCTCATTTACAACACGCTGCAGATGAAGATGGAAGTGCCTCTGTGGTTCGCTGGGGTGAAAATTATGCACAGACCTGAAGATGATGACATGGCAGCGCAACAGGAGGCGACAATTCTTCGCTTGAGTGCTGGACAGATGCGCTTTGGTGCGGACAATGGGCGGACGACGACAGATTGAAATCATGCGCATGGGTGGCGATGACAATCGTTCGCACTATGATTGTACGCATCTCATAGCGGCGGGGTCGTACATCTTCCACTAGAGGCGACACATCGTCAACAACGCCAACCTCGTGTTCCATCGCCTAGAGAAGCCCCACCTCACGCTGGGAGAGTACCCACATTGCATCCTGGAATCGGTTGATTGCGGGTTGGTGTGCTATCACAACACGGCCCTGAAGAATGTTGTTGAAGCCGCAAAACACGACTGGATCGGCAGCGGTCCTCCAACGGATGAAGATGGCAGTGACGACAAATGACACGCGGGTATATCCGGAAGGTCAATCGGATGGGGTGGTCGTCCTGCATGGGAAGGCTCTTCGATCTCCAAACGAAGTGGGG